CCTTTATAATTAAACAAACACATCACAATAACTGCAAAATATAGCAGATTTAAAAACCCACCTACTAGTTTCTTAAATCTGAGAGGAACTGAAGGCAAAATGTGACAAACTTGTACGACTAAAAGACAATAATGTGAATGAACAATAAACATAAAAGGTGGACATGTCTTTCCAAATTGAATCGAGAAGTACACTATAAAATATTATATCCAAAGAGGTATAGTGAGGTGCAGTGAAATAAATCACTATCCAATTATACTGCCACTTATTACAAATATTCCATTCACTCCAAAATCCTTGTTGAGCGTATAACTGTGAAAGTTATACATGAAGTTAATGATTGAGTCTCAGTGGCCACACAAACTTCTCTCAGCCTTTTACAAACCCAACATCTCACTCAATGTATAACAGAACAAGGTGGTTCTTACACTTTTGAGTCTTTGTGACTGAGAGAGAGAGAGTGCACGTGCGAGAGAGGGAGCATTATCCCCTATTGGACTGGCATGGTTTGCTGGCCCAGAATCTAAAAGTGACAACAGAGCAGGAAAACATTTGCAGCCGATCCAGAAATACGGTGACACAGAAGAAGAGCAGGATATTTACCATGAAGACATTATGAGGATCAAACCACAGGTCAGTCTCACTCTTCTTCTTGCTTCATTTACATGTTGCAGAGACCTATACTCTGTTCAAGACCAGTGAAAGCTTCCTAAATCACTGACAGGAAGCATGTAAGATAGTAATTTGTCAAAATTACATGCTGAGAGTCAGCCGTTGAGAGGAAAATCAAAGACTGGGCGGAGTTTTTCTTCTTTCAATCTTGTAGTTATTGTGAAAAGTAGTTCAAAAAGATTATAAATGTAGCTGTTCGCATTACAACATCACCCTCAGCACTGTTCACAAAGATGGTACATAGAATATTCATGTGTGGAGCCAGTTGAAATGAGGTTTAGAAGCAGTCCTAATAACAGGTTTTCACACAAGGACTGAAAAGGTGACTTTCAAATTCCAAGCAAAGAATGTATTCAGATCTATTTACGTACCTGTCCCTGGTTTTGTTAAACTATATGTATGGAAAAAGACATGTGGACAAGATTTTTCATTAGAATCACATTTAGCTGAGTACCTTTAGAATATACCCCTTGTGTGGCTTTCAACCCAAACCCAGTGGTTCACTCAGATGAGATAAATCTTTCAAAGCAGATCACAGATGTGTCATTTTTCAGTAATGTCACTCGTTGTTATGAGATTTGACTCAAACAGGAGAAAACTGAGCATTTGTCCGGGACTATTTACAGAAGTGCATTAATCCAAATTTGGTGCACTCATTAGTATTTGTGGTAGCAGTGCAATGGCTGTGTGACTGAATCAAAATAAACTAAAGATTTATTTCTCTTTAATTTCACGGCAAATTGTGGTTACGTAATGATAAGGGGGCATCATTACTGGCAGTGTATTGTCAGTTTTACATACTTGGATGTGATATATATTGAATTTCACAGTTCATACGCTACATGTTTAACTACACAGAACACTGAAATTGTTCATATCTGCAGCATTCATGTGCAATGCAAACCCTACATCTATTATTTTGTGATTTCCATCTGTTTTCGACCAACTGACCTTGTTTACAACATAACATTTGACAACATGCTTGATAGCATCAAAATGAAATACAGCATATTTGTATCCTTTTTTTACATATAGTGACACTTTGGTTAGATGGATAGATCGATGGATGGATGATGGATACAGATCAAACCTTGAATTTATAATAATAATAATTATTTGTATGTAAAGCAAATCATAACTTGTACAGGTTTGAATTTGCTGATTAGAGCTGCTCAGGTTGAAGCTGTGTAAAAGGTGATTATTGTTTTTTTTTTAAAGAATTACCAAAAAAAACAGGCTCTGTCCTGATGTTGTTGCACAGGAAAATAACCCACTCACCAAAAAGTAAGCCTTATTGAATACCTGGACTTTTATAACAGTGTATATTTTCTTTCTTCTGCTACGTTTACTTATCTCTGTTCAAATGAGATCCCCCAAAGTCAAATAGATGTAAGCTTTTGTTATCAGAAATGAAAACACGTCATCATTTCAGAGCACAAAGGCAATATTCACCCTTTCATCCGTTCTGTAGGTGTCATGTCTTTCAGAATAGTCATTGTAAAGGCACTTGTGATCACTTGTATGAAAACACTGAGAGCATATTGCAGGCAGTGGCCCGGGGCCCTGACATGACACAAACAGCGTATGTCCTGAGGGCTATGTGTCCCATATATTGTTACACACACATGCGCGCTACTGGTGAGGAAAATAGGTTTTTAGCACACTTGTGACGTTACCCCATCAATTGGGTTTGGTTTTCTGCAGAACAAAGCTCGTATATTAAGGTGATGAATCACTCGCTGAACAAAAACAAGAAAATGTGTTTATACTGGCAAAATGATGATTTAACTGCTCATTAAACCCATCACTAGCTCACACATCACAACCTGAGAGGAGGTTTTCATCACTTCATTTTAATTTGGTCACAAGTTAGACAAGATAAGATTAGATAAGATAAGATAAGATAAGATAAGATATGATAAGATAAGATAATCCTTTATTAGTCCTAAAGTGGGTAAATGTGCACTTTTACAACAGCAAGAGGACATTCAGGAATAAACATCAGTAAAGTAATAATAAGTAGCATGCCATACTTATATTGTAAAGAGATTGAACTTATATACAGTGTAAACAGAATATGTGCAGTGTGAAAATGTGTAGAGTGCAATGTATTGCACATTAGCCATTAAATGTCACAGACAGAAATGATGCAGACAATGCACAGTTAAAAAGTGAGAGTGTCTTACTGGAGCAGGAAGGAACCACCTGCGATACCTCTCCCTCAGACACTAAGGGTGAATCAGTCTGTTGCTGAAGGAGCTGCCCAGTGCTGTGATGGTGTTCTGCAGGGGGTGGGACTGGTTGTCCATCAAAGAAGACAGCTTCTCCATTATCCCGCCCGGTCCCAACACCTCCACTGGGTCAAGTGGGTAACCCAGGACCGAGCTGGGACTCCTAATAGTCTGCCCTGTCTCTTCCTGTTGAAATGCTGCTGCTGTGGTAGAAATCTAACACCAGCTCACATTTATTTACTAAAATAATTAGTTCATGCATGTGTACTGCGGTAGATTTATTTTCAGGTACTTTTACTTCACTAACTATATCAGCACATGTCTGTACTTTCTAGTCCACAACATCTTTACAATGTATTGTGTTCAACCAAAAAAAGGATTTGAAAGAGGCCACTGCCCACACCAAGCCATTTATTAGAATGAAATGCTGTGTTTTCAGCAGCATCATCTGCGGCACTCTTTACTGATGTGACAGGGTCTATTGTTGTTTTAAAGTTAATAATGGAGTTATATGTATACTTTTAGGACTTGAAGTATATTTTAAGGCAAATACTTACTCTAGTTAGTGCTTTCATTTGATTACATTTTTGTCAGGGGAAATGTTTGAATACTTTCTCCACCACTTTTGAGAGGCCGCTGCTTCATAGCATGCAGTAGCTTTTTGCATAGGGACATTCCCCCACACAAACCTGAAGGTAACTCAGCTACAGATAGAACAGGGTACAGATAG